GGGAACAACATAGGCATCCTCAATAATCTCCCATAAATCGAATTGTTTAGATTGAATAAAAAGTTTGAATCTAACACGCCATTGAGCATAGGGAAAAATATCCAAACGAGGAGCAACATTAATAGTATAACCTAGACTAGATGCATCATACATATCCATAATGATTATATGCAAGAAGCAAAAAAACAAAACAATCAACACTAGATTAGCACGAAACTGATAAATTGTATCTTTAACTCAAGGTGATTAGTCCTTAAATCAAAGAGCACCAAGCTCTGATACCAATTGTTAGACCCTAGAGGGGGGGGGGTGATTAGGGTCTTATGCTAATCTAATCCCGATTAAATGCCAATTAAAATAATGTGGATCAATTTGTTCTTGCAAGAGATAGATATGAATAAGAACGATAAGAAAAAGCACAAAAGAAATATATGCTAAGCAAACACAAACATAAGATATGTTTACGAGCTTCGGTCCCCACGACCTACGTCCCCGCTCCTCACCTCGAGGAGGTCTCCATTATTACAATCCGGTTTGGAAACCGGAACTTCTACACACTTGGTTTACAAGCTTACCGAAAACTCTCACACAATAAACACTATGCAATCACACTTTACACACTAAGTGTAGGAACCTAGCCCGTGTCCTCCTCCTCAAGTGCTCGGATGCAACCTCTCCCTAGGTTCTTCAACCGACATCACTCCTATTGGATTCGACCTCGTCTCTCGTCTCACACTTCTCTCGGTGTACAAGTGTATTACAAGTGATACTCACAAATAAAGATTAAATACAATGGTTTGTTCTCAACAACAAATGAGAATGCAAATGAAGCTCACACTCACTAAATCACACCCCACAACCCACACTATATAGTATGAAGATATTAAGCTCAATATGTGTGTGTGATAATAGTGAATGAAAATAATACAACTCAATAAATATAGCTAAATAAATGAAAATGAAATAGTAAGCTATATAAGGAAGAGTTTAGAAAACTTCTCAGTAAACAAGAAGAGTAGTAGATGATGATTCCAATAGGAATTGAAAGTCACTTCTTGTTGTAGAAAACTTCTCTTGAAGTAGATTAACGAAAATTAGCTTAACAGCTCTTTAAACGCCTCTTAAACCTTTGTTAAAACTTTTTGTAAAAACAAAACTATTGGTTTTCTTAGTTACTGAAATAGAAGAGCAATGGGGTATTTATACCCACTCAAGAACTCAGCAAAAACCAACTTGAAAAGACCAAAAAAACCCCAGAGAATCAAATCAGAAACTAGCCGTTGGAATACAATCACGTGACGGTCGACCGCGAAGCACAAAAAGTCTGAGATTAGAAAATAAAAGCTGGAGGTCGATCGCGGCGGTCGACTGCGAAAATCTTTGGATGGTTTCACGGTCGACCGTCACGGTCGACCGCGAGCACATAAAAACTATATACTAAAAATTTGTTCATGACGGTCGACCATGGCGGTCGACCGCAAACAGACACAGTCTGAAACCGACACAGTCTGAAACCTGTATTTGGGCCGTTTTTGGAAATACTTTAAAAATAGCAAATCAATTCCAAAAATAATAAAACTTAGGGAAAAGTTTCTAAATGATAAAATGAACATGATAGAAATGGAATTTTTGGAAAAATAATTTCCGTTTACAAAAACACACTGTTTTTGAAAAGTGTTCGTAAAACCTGTATTTTACGAATATGAAAATTTTGATATGACTTATAAACATGTATATATATATATCATGCATATATTATATGTATATATAATAAAGTATGAATGAGCTGTAAATATGAAATAAAAGATATTGTAACAACGTTTGATGAAAAATCATTTATATGATAGAAAACGTCAAAAATCGTGTTAAGTGTACATATATTGAGCTTAAATATAAACATACAATATATATAAGTAAACTACTCTTATACCTCCACACATATGAACTTGAATATTTAACGCTTGATTGTCGTGTGTTGAAATACCTGTAAAGAGAAACATAAAAACAAAACTAGAGAATATATTAGCGATAAATTGTTTGACAAATCATCATCAAAACTATAGGGTCAACATTTTGTGTGTGTTTATATATAAATTACGAGTAGATTGTCATCACAACACCTCAAGACTATCATACACCTTTTTTTCTCTCTTGTTAAGTAGGGTTGTTTATGGATACTCGATGACAAAGTTTCCCTAAGTTTCTTAGGGTTCCAAATTTGTTTTATTTATGCTTTTTGTGGGCAAGATGCACTCTCTTTTACTTTCTTAAAAAAAGAAAAAAAAAGCGAATAAGAAAATAAAATAAAAATAAAATAAAAACCCATTTCCATTTCCGGCAGGAAAATACAGTCCCCTCGGATACCATGTGACCGTTATATACTTACCAAAACCACCAAGCTTTACTGACATCACCTTCTTCATTAATCTCCAGCAGAGCATTAAACTAAAATTAACCCTCCAAAAGGGCAATCCCTCCTAAAAGTTTTATTATTAAAAAAATAAAAATAAAAGAAAATTACTTTACCAAGAGACGTGTGAACGCGACGCTAGCGTGTCCACGTTCTTCCTCCCCCATCAAAGACATAAACAAAGAGAGGAACAGTCACTGGATTTAAATACACCTACAACTTGAGAGAAGCTCTCAATTTCATAGAGAGAGCAAAATAAAAACTCGAGATCCCCCATCTCCTCAAATTTCAATTATGTTCACTTTGAAAATTTTTAATGAGAAAAACTGAGAGCGGTGAGCATACCACTCTAGGAGCTTGTATTTACACTCCATATAAGCTTTTGAACCCGGATATTCAATGATTTGAAAAGATGAATCAACAAAACCGGGGGGGATTTAGCTCGACATAAAACTTTTCTTTATAAAACATTTAGGAAGCGCACTTTTGACATCATTTGAATACATAACATTAAAAATTATAAGAGACTGGCAAAGGTCAAAAACAACTTTTACATATGAGTTACCTACACTTGCAACCGGTACAAAGTTCATGATATAGTCTATCACTCCCTCTTCGATTGTATCCTTGGCAATACAAACACGAGCTGTTATTTCTTGCGTTACTATGGCAAATCATCAAGCTTAATTTAAAACCGCATTTAGTTGCCAATAATAGAGATATAACTGGTTAGGAACTAATTTTTTAACATTGTTCTCGAAATTATTCAATTTTCTTAATGCATACTTCTAAAACCAGTCTAATCTCCCAAAACCATTCACATTATAAAGCAAGCATTCATCACAACTAAGAATTTAAGGTTAAATTTTGGGATAATAAAAATGCTAGGCTGTTGGCCTTTCTCTTGTTTTGATTGATGTTTAACAAACAATTTTACTTCTAAACATGGTATTTGTCCTAGTGTTTGTTTCTTATATTAGTAACGTAGGCAAACAACGAAGTTGTGAGGATGGATGGAAATAGGCCTTCAACGAATCAATATCAAGGAGGTTGCAGAATGTCGGAGTTGAACCTATGGCAATTCAACATTAGAAAGATCCACAAGTGTCGAGCACTTCTATCCGCAGCTCCGTACGCCAGATAGAGCTTCGTGACACTATACAGCTGGGAGATTAGTTTATGTATTTTATATTATGTGTTTACGTTTACTAACAAAGAACTCAAAATATTCATAATACACAACAAACAATTTATGAATTTTAAGCTTAGATAATAGATTACTTACTGTATCATATATATATCAATTAAACACAATTTTGTTTTCATGATATAGAAATAGTAGAAACTTGATATTGTTTCATATGATATTACTTGGCATTGTAGGTTTTAAACGTACTTAGATATGAAACACACACTATAATTTATAATATAAATACTCATATGGCTTAATGTTTATGTATTCGCACTTGTCAACAAAGATATTCTTGTATTCCTTATGTTTGGACTACAATAATCGTATCAGACACTTATTAAGGTTACATTATAATTATTGGTGCAACAAGTTTTCAAGACCACTATAGGTTAACGAGAAAAGACACTAGAAGATGATTCACAAAATTCACTCATCTATGTTTACATTTCGTGTTTTGGACAATTTTGTAAAAATGATGATATTTTTGATTTTAAAATCTTTAGGCAGAAGTCCTTTGGAACTCAAGTTATTATAAAAAAGCATGTTTAATCATCATATCAACATAGTCTAATTCGAATGAGAAGCTTCTTCTAAAAAGTAATTTTTCAAATTAAAGAGAGCAGCTATAATATTCTAGAAAAACTTTCGAATTGAGATTGCATATTCCTAGCTCAGTATCTCCTCAAAATAGATGATATTTCTTAATATATCATCTCCATCCCCACAATCAGAAAACCGAAAAGTAAAAACAAATGGTGGTTTTCGGTTCATAGAAATGATAATGCTGAGCTACTAATTCTTTAGAGTATTTCAAGAACTTCAAACAAACATATTACATCGGACCAAATTAGGTAAACAACTGTGCACATATCAGCACAGCGATTACCAATGCCGCTCAGAGCGCACGGGAACGCCGCGGGCAAGCTTCCGTGGAACTTGGCCGGAGCCAGGCACGACCCTACATCATTCAGGGTAAAGAACTAAACTTGCGGATGAAGCTAGAAAACTTGGAAGTCCCTAGCTCCCGGCTCACACCATCGCGCGCCGCAGTCGCGACGCCGGCCTAGCCGACGCGCGGACCACTGCCGGGGAGCTCCCGCTGGCCCCTCCGACTCAGAACCCTACCAAGCCCGGCCCGACGCGCGGCTCCGCTCCGGCGCGCCTCTTATAACAAGAACGCTCTGCGCCACAAGCTCGCACCACAGCTCCGCTGGCGGCATCCCCCCGCGCGCAACATCTCCCGTCGCGAAAGGTCGGGCGCGAGCCGGAGCTCGTCCACGTCTCGGAGCGACGTGCTCGCTCCGGCTCGGGAACTACGGCACGGGAGCGTTGTCAGAGGCGGTAGCGGCGGCGGCGGCCTGGGGCCCACACGCTGACCAGGAACGGCGGAGCTTCTGATCCGGAGGAAATAAAGAGGATGGGAACGAGCAGTATAGGAGGGGCAGTTCGGTGAGCGCCTCAGGAATCTACGACAGGGCGATATTAATGTGCCCCAAGAATGCAGGCGTACAGGACTAATCGCGCCGCCGCGCGTTTGTCGGGCTCAAGGAAAGCTTGTGAGCGCTGTGAATGGCGTCTAGAAGCGTTGAAGATCGATCCTTGGTTCGAGCGAGCTCGACCAGAGATTGGCCCTCCTGCTGTATCCGGGTCCTATGAAAGCAAGACCGCCTACCGTGATGATTAATTTTGGATTGAATTTGTGTTGCATTCAAGTCCTCTATGCTTTGCTGCAGGCTAGGACAGGTGAGAGAATGCGTGAACACGTTTTCTAGGCTGGACCGCAGCCATGACGCGGCCCGGAGCTGCAGAAGATACAAAGAAGTAGAAAAAGCATCTGCGAGGCCTGTGCGATGCAACGGCGGATGGAGACGTGGAACGAGCGGCGCTGAGACGAGGATCCAATGGCTGCTATTGTATCGAGAGGCCCGATTCATCTCCGTTGCTTATTGCATCGCGGGCAGAAGCCTTTCTCCGCCTCCATCATCTTGACGAGGCCGATTCCGCTATCTCGAGTGCTGTCAAGCTCGAGAGCTCGTCCCCTTCTTGCTCATTGACCAAGTTTTTTGGTATGCTATCAAGTTCTTATCTGCACATTGTTCGTGCTCAGATTGATGTAGCGTTGGGCAGGTGAGTTTTATGCTTTGATGCTGATACTATAAACTGTATCTTTCTCAATCCCAGATATCTGAGATTCGATGATTGGAAATCTTTCGCAGATTTGACAGTGCAGTTGCTTCTGCGGAGAAAGCCAAGCAGAGCGATCATGTCAACATTGATATTTCGAAGATACTGAACAACGTGAGACTCGTAGCGAGAGCTCGAGCACAGGGGAACGAGCTTTTCAATCAGGGGAAGTTTGCCGAGGCTTGTATTGCATATGGAGAAGGGCTTATGTATGATCCCTCGAACTCTGTTCTCTATTGTAATAGAGCGGCTTGTAGATCGAAGCTTGGACAGTGGGAGAGGTCGATCGATGACTGTAATGAAGCGCTCAAGATTAAACCAAACTACACTAAAGCTCTTTTGAGACGAGCAGAGTCATATGAAAAGGTGAATATTTTGTTGTAGATCTCATAGTTATGTTGGATGGTATGCTTAATGTGACGTTTTCTTGGGTGATTAGCTCGAGAGATGGGCTGAATCAGTGAGGGATTACGAGGTCCTAAAGAATGAGCTACCGGGTGATGCTAAGGTGGCTGAAGCGCTTCTTCAAGCTCAATTGGCATTGAAGAAATCGCGAGGTTTTGATACGTGGAATGTGAAGTCAGGAGAGCAGATTAAGGTGATTACAGGGATGGATCAGTTCCATGCTGCAATTACTTTACCAGGTAATATTTCCTATTTCTCCCAATGTTTACTATTACTATTCTTGTGCATTAGGTTGAACATTTCCTTCGTTGATAGAAAGTTGTTTGAAATTGCTACAATTTTGTCAATTTGGTTAGCTACTAGCAGTGAACTGTTAATATTGAGCTTTTCCTCAATGATTTTTGTTCTTTGAAATTTGGGGATTATTTGTGCAGTAATTTTATGGACTAGCCATAGTTGTGATAATGGACGGTGATTAATTACTCTTTAACTTTCAAAAATTTCCCTTGACTTATGAGCCAGATGTACTAATCTTATTCCAGAGCTTATTCATGAAGTCTCAAACTTTTCCTGGTACCATATGTGGACCATTTTTATTCATGCAGTAATTTTTATGCTAATTCTAGTTCATTTAGGAATCGCTCCACATTCCCCGCATCAGCTACATTGCTCATTTGCTTTTAGGAATCACGTCAGATCCCCCAGATAGCTACACTGTTCATTCAAACATGCATCATGCATGTTTCATTCAGGAAGATTTAATGGGCTACACTGTTCATTTAACCAAGCATCATGTTTCATTCTGGGAGATTTAATGGGCTGCCGACTACCTAGCTATGCTCTTTTAATGACTTGCCATTCTGGCTAAGCCCCTCCTTTAACCATATCAACCCTTTTCATTAATATATGCTCACAATGACCCTACCTTATGCCAATCCAATTAGATGGAACCCCCCCATGTCGGAAGCCAGAAATCTCTCCTCATGTTCTCTTTGCTTGAAACTATTAATTACTCCTACAATATTGCGATATAAGTAAAACTTGCATGTTTTCAGGAGTATCAGTGGTTCATTTCATGGTGGCATCGAACCAGCATTGCACCGAGATAAGCCCATTTGTCAATGTTCTATGTAACCGATACCCGTCTGTAAATTTTCTCAAGGTTTACTAATATTCACAATACCTTTCAACTGATATAGGGCTAATTGCAAATAGACGCCCTGCAGTATCTTCGTTTTGAACTTATTGCCCCTCTAGTTTCATTATAGCAAATAGACCACCTGTGTTAATTTTTTTTGACTCTTTTACCCAGATGATTCTTTTTGGATATATTGCCCCATGGTGAAAGAGCCAAAAAAAAAAAAAAATTACCTCAGGGGTGTATCTGCGACAATGAAACTACAAGGATAGCAATGTCAAAACAATTAGCGATTCTACAAGGGGGTCTATGTGCAATTAACCCTTGATTATAAGCCAAATTTACTTGTGCTGATTCTTCTTGTATTTTGAAAGCGAAGGTGGATGTCAATGAGAGCCCGGTTGTTTCGAAGATGGAGAATGTGAAGGCAGTGCCGACGTTTATGATCTACAAGAATGGGATAAAGATGAAGGAGATGATCTGCCCTACACATCAAATGTTAGAGTTCTCAGTGAGGCATTATGGAATGTGATTATATAAAATGTCAAGCGAGTAGGGTTCTTTTGATATATTCTTGAAGGGTAGATAATATTGAAAGAAGAAAAAAAAAGCCCTATCCTTGTTATTGCGAGTGCATACAAAATGACAAAAAGTACCCCAATTTGGCACAAGCATTGGGGGAGGGGTATTTCAAGGGTTATGCCCTTTTTAAGTATCTTTTCATTTCTTACACGTTTCCTTGACTAGTACCTTACCCTTTGCTCGCTTATTCTTTCCCTTGGTCTTGTTCGGACCCTTGGACACACCAACAAACAGTCCTGACTCTCTCAGACGTTTCCCTGTTCGATTCACTGAGGAGGGAAAATGGCTGATTTTTACCATGTACATATACCATTTACTAGAAAGTGGGAAAGCCATTGGGAGATTGGATTTTCCTAGTAATGATGAGAGAGAGAGAGAGAGAGAGAGAGAGAGAGAGAGAGAGGGGATCTTGTCGGTGCTAGTGCTACTGGTATATGCTCTGCCATTTTATGAATAAAAATATTTCTGAGTTCTTTTATCATGAATCATTTGGTTTGCCTTTTGGTACAGCTTTTTTCTCTTTTGTAAAATACGTCATGATCATGCGTGTGGGTCTTTGGTTGCAATTAATTTAACAATCCCTATATATGTCTCCCGCGACTGATGATGCCTACATAAATCTACCAGTTGAGCTTTCCCTTTGCGGTAATCATGCCATATGGGGGGAGAGAGAGAGAGACAGAGAGAGAGAGAGAGAGAGGGGAGTAAAACTTTTGAATATGTATGAGTACTCAGAAGAGGATGTATATTCTATTTTGTTCGTACAAGTACTAATTACCCTCATTTCTCTTGTAAAACCCACATTAAAAACATGCCCGCAAAGATTATTGATTGGTTGGTGCGAACTCGTAAGCCGGTTTGGCTTCTCGTTTCTTGTCATCTCACTTTATGTGAGGTACATGCTCCATGATTTTCATGTGAAAATGAGGGGAACAAAATGAATGGAGGATCAATTTTGTTCTTATTTCTTTTGAAGAAAATTTTTAATTTATATTTGAATTTGGCTATATCAATCCAACTTATAGTTTATAGAATTTGCACTTAATATATATATATATATGAGAGATTAATGTGTATCAACAAGGAGGTGGGGATTGTGCCACATAGGCGTAAAGGAGGAAATCCCCTCCTATGACATAATGACTCCTATGACATAATGAGGCTGTTTGGATGCCTTTAGGATACTAGAGTATTTATGACACAAAATAGAAAGCGGTTATCCACCTCACCACTTTCCATTTGAGTGTTTACATTGTTTAGTTAGGAATCTTTGTGAATCCTAAAATAATAGTATTACATTGTTTGGATAGTATAATGTAAACTAGAGTATTTATGACACAAAATGGAAATTGGTTATCCACCTCACCACTTTCTACAAGGTTTTGATTTTTTTATTATTTTTTTGGACACATTTATGACATTGTGTCAGCTTTCCAACAAAATCACTCCTAATTTTGGTGATTTTGCTTTCGGTGACACCTCATCAAAAGGTGTAAGCTTTTCATGTAAAAGAGAATTTAAACAAACAATGTAAAGTGATGAAAGCTGACATTGGGACCCACTTTTTTATAGTAAAAACATATAACCAAATAGCCCTAATGGGTACCAAGGAGGTGGGGATTGTGCCACATAGGCGTAAAGGAGGAAATCCCCTCCTATGACATAATGAGGCTGTTTGGATGCCTTTAGGATACTAGAGTATTTATGATACAAAATAGAAAGCGGTTATCCACCTCACAACTTTCTATTTGAGTGTTTACATTGTTTAGTTAGGAATCTTTGTGAATCCTAAAATAATAGTATTACATTGTTTGGATAGTATAATGTAAACTAGAGTATTTATGACACAAAATGGAAATTGATTATCCACCTCACCACTTTCTACAAGGTTTTGACTTTTTTTATTATTTTTTTGGACACATTTATGACATTGTGTCAGCTTTCCAACAAAATCACTCCTAATTTTGGTGATTTTGCTTTCGGTGACACCTCATCAAAAGGTGTAAGCTTTTCATGTAAAAGAGAATTTAAACAAACAATGTGAAGTGATGAAAGCTGACATTGGGACCCACATTTTTACACTTTCCATCCTTTTACATAGCAAAAACTTTTCATCCTTTTATATAGTAAAAACATATAACCAAATAGCCCTAATGGGTACCAAGGAGGTGGGGATTGTGCCACATAGGCGTCAAGGAGGAAATCCCCTCCTATGACAAGGATACCCATTAATTTATATATATATATTTATATATATATAGGGAAAAGTGAATCTAAGGTGACACCCTAGGCTCCCACCTAAGGACGCGGCCTAAAATCACATCATTCCCTAATATTTTTTTACGATCCGCTCCGTTGAACTTGATCTACACGTTCTTAAACCCAAACACACCAATTTTAGGGTGAACCCGTCATGTTTTGACCCTTTATCCACTCGCTGAAAGTGAATCTAAGGTGACACCCTAGGCTCCCACCTAAGGACGCGGCCTAAAATCACATCATTCCCTAATATTTTTTTACGATCCGCTCCGTTGAACTTGATCTACACGTTCTTAAACTCAAACACACTAATTTTGGGATGAACCCATCGTGTTTTGACCATTCGTTGAGTCGTCCAAAAAGTTCTATTCATTCGAAACCGTTAAAATTACGGCGAGTGGATGAAGGGTCAAAACATGACGGGTTCACCCCACAAATTGGCTGGGTTTTAAATTTAAACGTGTTAGTCGTAGCATCAAGCTTCAACGACGCGATTCGTAAAAAATATGGTGAGGGAATGCATGTGATTTTAGGCCGCGTTCTTATAGGAGCCTCAGGGTGTCACCTTGATTTCACTTTCCCAATATATAATATATATAATATAATATATATATATATATATATATATATATATTATATATATAATATATATATGAGAAAAAATGGAGAAACTTGGTACCAAGTTGCCTCCAAGCAACTTGGTAGTGATGTGGCATCATTCTTTCCCTAGCATCTATATTGCGAGTTGGAAGGGTGGTTGAGGCTCTAACTTCAAGCGTGTGATGTAGGCGGCAAGATGAATCCACATCCACTATCAAGTTGCTTTAAGGAAACTTGGTACCAAGTTTCTCCATTTCTCATATATAATATTATATGTATAATATATGATATATATATGATAATATATGTATATATATATGTACATATAATATATATATATATATATAATATATTATATATATATACTATAATATATATAAAATATATAATATTAATATTATATATAATATATATGTATAATATATGTATATATATGTATATATAATGCTATATAATATATGTATACTAGTATATAACAATACTATAGATATCATAATATATTATATACATATATATATATATATATTCTACAAATATATATATATATATATAATATATATAATTATATATATATATATATATATATATATATATATATATATAATATATATATATATATATATAATATGTTATATATCTCATATATAACATAATGCTACACACACACACACACACATCAAAATATATATAATACTATATATATATATTATATACATATAATATATGATAATGGGTGCCTATGTCCAAGGAGGTGATTATTCCTCACTTGGACACCTATGTGACACAATCCCACAACTCACACTCTTTCTCCTAACTTTAAAAGGACGGTGAGATTGTGCCACATATGCCGTCAAGGAGGGAAATCCCCCCTGACAAGGATATCCATTAATCCTCTCTCGCTCTCTCTATATGTTAATATATATATATATTATATATATATATAATATATATATATATAATATATATTATATATATAATATATAGAGCAAACTTGTGTCAACTTAATGGATAGCAAAAAGTTATCCATCAAAACTTTAGCTACTCATATTGCCTATGGATCTTGCATGATATGAAAATATTTTTTATATTAATAAAGAGTGGCTATGAAGTTCGGGGACATCCAACTTAAGTTGATAGGAGTCTTACTATATATATATATATATATATATATATATAAATATATATATATAATATATAATATAGCAAAACTTGTGTCAACTTAAGTGGATAGCAAAAAAGTATCCACCAAACTTTTTAGCCACTCATATTGTCTAGGGATCCTTGCCATGATATGAAAAGCGTTTTTTATATTAATAAATGAGTGGCTAGGAAGTTTGGTAGACATCAACTTAAGTTGATAGGCAGTCTTACTCTCTCTCTCTCTCTCTCTCTAATATATATATATATATTATATATATATATATATAATATATATATATATAGAGAGGAGAGAGAGAGAGAGAGAGAGGAGCAGAGAAGAGAGATGAGAGAGAGAAGAAATGAGTAATGTTTGGTACTAAGCACAAATTGGTGTTGGTAGTGAGTGTCTCATTCTCATCCACTCATTGTCATTACAATCACTCCCCAACCTATGTGAGTGTTGATCTGATTTCAATGAGTAGAGGAGGAATGTGACATCGCACTACCAACTTTTTTTGCTTGGTACCAAGCATACCCATTTCTCCTCATATATATATAGTATATATATATATTATATATATATATGATAAATAATTATATATATATAGTATATAATATATATATATATATATACTTCTTTATTACTAAAGGAGAACAACAAAAAAGATAAAATAAACATTAACCTAAGGTTTTGAACAATGAAAAAATAAAATAAAGCCACGTTCTCCTTCAAAATCTCCGCCTTCTTTCCTTTTACAACCCACGTTCTCCAAACTTCCCCTCTACATGATTTTAAAACATCTCTCTTTCTCTGTTCTAACTAAACCCGCTTCCCCTCAAAAGTTTTCCCAAACTCAAAAACCACGCCCTCGCAAATCCCTAACCGTAATCTCTCAAATCTCTCATCTCAAACTCCCAAGAATCAGGCTCCTCTTCATAATCATCATCGTCTCCATCCCCTCAATTCCCTCATCTCAAATCTCTAGCAACTTCCCCCCTCGGGCCCTCCCTCTGGAGCCTCCGCTGTTAGCCCTTATGTTTTGATGATATTTTACAATCACCATTATCGGTACTAATTGCTTATTACGTGATAATGCAGTTAATATATATATATCAAGCATGTTAGTACCACAAATGGAGGATTGGATGGAATATGCGCTACAACGATGATATCCAAAGGAGGAGGAGGCATAGTGATGAAGCAAAGTTTAATCAAGAACACCAAATTCAATTAGAAGCTTCATCCAACTCAAGCTATATCAAGACTCAAGAATTGTATTCTCGTGAGGATATTAGCTAGTTTTTATTTTCTCTCTAGTGCTAGAATGTAGGCAAAGAGTTATCGATTTCACTTGAAGCTATTGGGATATAACACACACGTTTTCATATTTATACTTTTGAGCGTATTTCACAAAATACTATTTTTCACAAGTATGAGGACCTATTTGCAAAATTTCTTTTTCAATCAATTTGTTTTCAGTA